TGTGCAGAAATATAACATCTTCTCAGCTTCTTTGGATTGCTGAGGGATTTTGTTGTTGTGGACTCCTTATTTTGCACTTCTGCTTTATGTTTTAACTACAAGATTGCATCCGGGAGATTCAGGCAATATAACAATTATATATGTACACATACGTGTGTGTGGGTGAGTCAGCAGAAATAGTAAAAATCTCACACTGTATTTCTGTTGCAGCAATAACAATAGTTTAATTTTAGTTATGACATATTGTTACTTTTCCAACTGTTTCTAGGTTGCTTTTTTTTTCTTATTATAAGATGACTAACAGTCTTTAAATCTACAACAGCTTTTGATATAAGTCTAAATCTATTTTAAGCACTGAGGTCATTTAAAATCAATGTTGATTTTGTGTTTACAAAGGAGCCAACAACTTTTTCTTACAGTTGTGGAAGACCAAGCCAAAAAGTAGTTCAAATTTAGAGCTCCTATGGTACAAAATTTTTTTTCATTCTCCTCACTGAATAACATAGGAAGCCATAAGAGTTAGTGCTGGCAAAGTAATTTGCCTTATTATCTCCTTTTTTAAACCATTTTCCGTTGCATGCAGTTTATATTTAATGACACAGATATGCTAACAGATATGCAGCAAGCATGTCTTTAAAACAGTTCTACTCATAAAAAGTGTAAGTAAGTTGTGCATTTTTTCTTTGGGAAACGAATAACTTTTAAACTGCCAACTTCATGTCCTTTCATTTTACTGAGGCTAAGAGTTCAGGGGAATTCCCACGACGTCATATGTAGCTGACTAGATGTGGGGGAGGAGAAGCATTCACTCTTTCCTTGACATGTAATTAGTTCAGTGGAAGAAAAATCACATGTTTAAAGCACTATAGAGAAACATGCAAATCTTAACAAATATTAGAAATAAATCAATGAAAAGACTGAGATAGTACTTGACTTAAGCATTGGCAATACTTAATTAGTAGAAATTCTTAAAAAATCTTCTTAACTAACCATACTTTGTTTGATTTGTCTGTTTGGCTAAAATGAACCAGATATTGAATTGTTTGGGAAATTTTGAAACTTCCTTAATGCACCTTATTTGTTTTGCAGGTGTGCTTTGACCACAAACCCAGAATAATCAGTAAAACCAACAAAGATGACCCATCTCTTTGCTCTCATCCAGTGACAAAACATGACTTTGAGACTCATAAGTGAGTCATTCAAATTTTTTAAAATTCCGTCTTAAAACATCCTTTCAGAGAGATTCTGAGAAATTTCGAAATTGTGAAAAAATAATCCTACTTTGTTTCTTCTCTTTTTATGTCTCCTCCTAGGTGCCTGGTTCACATTTTGAGGGACAATACAGTTCGTTATTCTAAAATCAGACCTTTGAGTTCCCAGAGTCAGCTGGATCTTTGCCGGCATGAAGTGCGCTATGGCTGTGTAAGAGAAGACGACTGTTTCTACGCCCACAGCCTGATCGAACTCAAAGTCTGGATGATGCAACATGAACTTGGTAAGCAACATGTGTTACTTTAGCATTTTGCAAGAGAAGAGTGTCAGCCTGAAATTCCATCAATACTACAAGAAGTCCTACATTTCCATACAAAGGTATTAGAGTATCAATACTAGCTGACTTTGAATGAACTGCAAAGATCTGTAGATATCAGGTGGGCTTACTTCATGGAATAAAAGCTGTCATTTCTCTTAAAGAGTTCATGTTTCCAGAACAAGCATGCCAACTGCCAGTTTAAACATGAATTGTGTGTGGACCACCACTTCCTCGGCACACCTGACCTGGAGAGGTCGGGTGGGCGTATTGGAGTTAGATGAGATCAGAATTAAACTGTATGGCTGAAAACAGACAGAATACGACATCTGAAGTGTGAAAAATGGTGTGGGCAGCATCATGCAAATGCACGTCATCAAAAGTCGTTGATCTTTGCAGCAGCCCCTCATACTAAGCATGCATGTAGGGACAGTAGGGAGAAGAATGGTGCTACAGCAGGAACAAATGTTCACCTGAACTTGTTTGGCTTAGCAGCCATCTTCTGTGTCCAACTGGAGGAATCTGTACAGTTCTTAATGTTCATTATGTGATTTATTTTTTTAAGTGTATTGATATATTTGCAATATATTGTTTCACTACTAGAAGTCTGAGGCCTTTTTGAGAATGCTGACAAAGATTTAATTTCTTGGAGGAAAAAAAAATGGTTTAAAATAAAAATTTTAAAAAATCACTCACTTTTTTAACTCTTCTTGCAGGTATCACTCATGAAAGTATTGTTCAAGAGGCAAAGAAATATTGGAATGCAACAGCTTCATTGCAAGGAGCACAGGTAGAAAACGCACTGCAAAACAATGTATCAACTGATTCTGCTTAACACAGATAAAAATAGCCGCAGTTGTCTAACAAAGTATCTCTACCTTCAAACATTGTCCCCAGTTTTCAAATCCCCAGAGAAGATTTGGCCCTCCAAATCTGAAGATGATGTTTGTTTGTGGCCAGTGCTGGAGAAACGGCCAATTGAGTGAAGCTGACAAAAATAAGAAGTATTGCCAGGCAAAGGCAAGACATACGTAAGTATTTCAATTTCTCTTGGATTGTTTCAAAATGAACGAATAATATCTCATAGAATCTCTTTCTGATTTTAGGTGGGCAAAAGACAAGAGGGTTGTGCTTGTAAGTTCTCATGAAAGAAAAAAGTGGACAACTGTAAGACCACTTCCAACCAAAAAGCCCATCCCATCTCAGTTTGAGGTACACACCCAGCATTGTTGTATTTTCCTGTAGCCTAAATGTGAAGAACACTTTCTTTTTGAGTTTCTGCTAACCGGTAACTAAATGTTTCATTTTAGATTTGCATGCATGTGACAGCGGGCAAGAAGTGTCAGTACATCGGCAATTGCACATTTGCTCACAGTGTAGAAGAAAGAGACCTTTGGACCTACATGAAGGAAAACAACAGTAAGTTTCTTTGGAGCTCGGCTTTTTCACTTGGTTGTATTTCATTAGTACAATTGAATCGCCTTGCAATGCAGCACACTCATTGTACGTCCTCCATCCTCCAGTTCCAGATATGGATCAGCTTTATGAGCAGTGGCTGCAGTCTCAGAAGCCTGGCTGGGGGGAAGAAATGTCCAATAATTCTTTCAGGGAGAACGGCAAACAGATCCACATGCCGACAGACTATGCTGAGGAAGTGGTGAGTTGCAGAGCCAGCTGCCTCCGCACAATTCATGTTTAAACTGGCAGTTGGCATGCTTGTTCTGGAAACATGAACTGTTCAACAGAGAAATGACAGCTTTCATTCCATGAAGTAAGCTAAAAAAAAATAAGCATCTCTCTGATAGGTTGTTGCCTCTCAAAACTGATTTGAAAATATTTTATAACTCAATTTGATTATAAATCTCTACCACTTTGTCAACTTCAATGAAGTTTTTAATTGAAGTTAAGTTTACATGAACAGCACACTTCAGCAACAAAGTGGGTCAATGTGGATTATTAAATAGTGACCAATTGTGAAATAAGCAATCATTATTTTGTCAAATGCCGTCAAAACCATTAAGCATATAGATTGATCAATGTTCCACTCAAAGGCAAATCTGAACAAGGTTTTTAACCTTGATTTAAAGAAACTCTGTGTTCCTGCATTTTTGCAGTTTTCTGGAAGTTTCTTCCAGACTTGTGATGTGTAGAATCTGAATGCCGTTTCTCCATGTTTGATTCTGGAGCAAACAGAAGACCTGAGAGGACTGAAACGTTGATGTATCAAAAGATCTTTGACGTATTTGTTGCTAAGCTATTCACTGATTTATAAACTACTAGAAATATTTCAAAGTTCTCTGAACTAGAGGGAGGCAGTGTAAGGACTTTATTATTATAATAAATAAATAAAAGTCTTTATTGTCATTGTCACAGGAACAACAAAATTTAAAAAAAGTTCCATCAGTCAGTGCATAGGCTTAACTGGTTTTTGTGAGTTCTAGTTTAGTTATTTGCCTCGTAATTAAAGAAAAATTTAAAAGCTGATTTTTTTTTTTTTGCAGGCCGGCAATCATTGCTGGTTGTGTGGTAAAAACTGCAATAGCGAGAAGCAGTGGCAGCAGCATATCACTTCAGAGAAACACAAAGAGAGAGTCTTCAACTCGGAGGATGATCAGAACTGCTGGCAGTACAGATTTCCCACAGGCACTTTCAAAGTTTGTGAGAGGTAAGATTATCAGATTAAACATCTGGTTTATTCCTGGTGCCTTGGTCCTCCTTCTGCAGTTTTTGATGTTTGATGTTATGTTTCAACAGATTTCTCAAAGGCACATGCACAGAGGATGACTTATGTAAGCTGGCTCATGGAGAGCAGGAGCTGAAAGAATGGATGGAGCGTAGGGAATTCCTTTTGATGAAACTTGCCAAAGCGAGAAAAGACCATCTTATAGCACCAAATGACAATGACTTTGGAAAATACAGTTTTCTCCTTAAAGACATTAAATAATGACATGCTGGAAATATTGATGCTCACTTGCAAACAAGGCAGTATTCAGTCATGAGTCAGGTCTTTATTAAATGGCCTCTGCTTGGAGCAGGAAGTAGCCTGATCCCAGCATGATTTAACAGAGGGTGTTCAGGACCGTCCCTCTGATTGGTGGGTGGTTTTCTCTGATCCAATCTACAGAGTGTTATCATTAATGGCAAATATTCAGTGTGTGACATCTGAAGCTTTTCTACACATTGTTCAGTAGAAACACCTGAATATGGTGACAAAAATAGCATGTGTAAACCTTGATCAGAGTCATGTTCCGATGCTTAGTTAACCTAAAAAAAAATCTTTTCACAAAACATTTGTATATTTTAATGACCTTTTCTGTTTAAGTATTAAACTACTTAAATTGAGTTGACATTCTTGTTTTATTGAGTCAACATAGGTCATTTTCACCTTTCATTTATCTGATAGTGTTATTGGTGTTATGGGCACCTTACCAAATAAAGATACCATTTTTTAAAAAAATCTGAAACTGTGTTTTATTAAGATTTAATATGCCTTACACAAACATGTCACTGCAACTCTGGTGCATGAAAAACATATTTACAAAGTATGATACACAGGATAAGAGAAAAATGGGTTAAGTCATTTCATATAAGATGAACCTCAGTCACAAACATCATTTAGTCATACAACTGCACCTGCTCTATGCAACTAGCAGTACTCATCAGCTGTCTGATATTCAGGCTAACACTTGCTGCAGTTCCTCCACCTCCAGCTTCCACATCTGTCTGTGGAGCGCAGCAAAGTCCGAGAGGTCTGCCATCTTCACAGCACGGATCACAGGCTCCGGGGAAACAGCCTGGATGACGCCCATCACCATTACATATTTACCTGCAACAGTGGCAGATGATCAATGTGGGCAAAGGTGAAAATGTACAGGAGTCGATGGAGCTTTTGGCTGTGATAAAGTATTAATTTAACATCTTTTGGCCATTTTGGATCTACAATTATGCAATGTATGCTGTTTACTGTGGAAAAATAAATCGACATTGCAAATGCAAAAGAATGCTTCCACACAAACTAGCCATTTGAGAAAAGTAGCTGCTTTTGATGAAAAAATTTATTTTGGTGGCTGAAATTCAAAGTTGCGGAAAAATATTTATTGTAGTGGATTAATGTAGTTTTTAGCAACTACTGCATTTTCTCAGAGTAAAGTTAACATTTATTCTAATAGTTTTGACAAAACCTGATAGTTTAAACCTCAAATATGTTCTTTCATACTGAATCTCAATAAATTCACTACACAAAATATGACCGCTGCCTAAATGCCACAAAGTTTAAAGTTACTGAATCTAACTTTACAAGGTTTAGACAAACTTTTATTTCATTCATCTTGGTTCATGTTTATGAAAATGCAGTGATGAATTATGGTCAAAAGCAGCAGATTTATCCTAAACTTAGATCACAGTCTGGATAGCTATCCTGATTTTTAACATCCTTTTTTACGACGAGAAGCACATAAATATTTTAGGTGTTGCATCAATGTGCAAACTTGATCAAACAACTTCAGAGGATACTTTGGCTGAAAATATTCAAGCACTAAGAAACGCTGTTAGGATTCATCAAAGTACAGCATAGTTTTAACTTTATCTCAGCCTGTGGCTCTGCTCAGGTGTTGAGGAAGCCCAGGTTGCTGTAATAGTGACCTTCAGCTTGTCAGCAGTGGTAAGACATTGTGCACCATCTCCACACTTTTTTTCTTCCACTCAACTTTCCATTAATAAACCCCTACACAATATCACACTCCACGTCATTTTCTCAAGATATTTTATGGTTCATCTTTATTGCAAAAGGTGTCTCGTCTCCTTGACTGCAAAATCAGTTCACTGTAAAACTAATTTTTAAGTTTTGTGTACAATTTAAATAGTCTCAGGAGTTTGGTGTTAGAAATAATACATCTAACAATAAAGACCATAGAAAAATATTTTAAAATCAGATTACTATGATTAGGTTTTGAATGACACGTGCAGCCATATTACCTGGAAGCAAACACGGTTTGCCTTTGGGAATGTTATTAACGCCCTGGACGGCAAAAGTCCCTGTTTCGTCCATCAGCATCACGGTGGTCCCGTCCAGTTGGACCTCCAGCACCGTGCCCTGCATCCATACAAGAGACACGCGCAGAGTGCGACCCCTGCCCGCTCGGATTACGTATCCCTCCGCGCTGTCAGCGGTACCCCGGATCCCCGCCGCCCTCAGCTGACCTGACAGGACCTTAACCGGCGGGGAACGTTTCCCGTCCTTGCAGGGTTGCTCTAGTTTGGACATTATCGGTCGAATGAAGCTGGCTCCAGATGGAGCAGCTCAGACCGGAAAGTTTGTCATTTAATTTCTCACGGAGCGCCAAAATGTGTAACCCGGAACATATAGATTTTTTTCTTGGGAACAGGTTCCGGCCAGGATTATTTCAAATTAAAAGCTTCTCATTCACGTCTGTGTCCATGTAATCTTGTTTGACAAATAAAATGAAATTTAAAGTATCAATTTCACATTTTTGAAAGCGAAATTTCATCCTATGATTAGAGATGTACTTTGACAATACAACATAAGACCAAATAAATTTGTTTTATTATTAAATAGAAGTTGTCCCCTCATGACTGCTACCTGGCCAGTTGACCAGCATAATGTCACTGACATTTTTTACAAGGAGAGGAAGCTTTAAAATACTAATCTTCTTTCATGCACAGTAATGGAAAATTGAGTGGAAGGAAAATGATTAAAAAAATATACCCACATGTAACAACAACTGTGAAAGGATTGCAAGGCAAAGCTCAGTGAAGATTGAGAAGAGTTTAGCAAGGCACAAACTGCAGCTGGAGTCAGTGCTTGAATACATATTACACAGAATTATATATGACCTAATTTACAACTATTCTTTGTGAGTTGTCCAAAATTTCTAATACCTGCTTTTATGACCGTATTATAATTGTGTTTGATAAATCAGTAAACTGGCTCGAACAAAACCCCAAAGAAAAACAACTAAGTATTAAGAGGAAGGTTAGAGATGCCAGATCCAACAATATGGCCCAGTCAAAGCAATCTGGGCTCAGCCCCCTAGCAGTTCTCAATGCCACGCCATCGTCAGTAATTTATGCAAACAGAAGCAGCTATTATATGCACATACTGTACAGTACATGGAAATATCCATCAGTATTCTTGTTTTCAATCTGTTCATGTATTTTTTAATACTCTGGAAAAAAGGGAGGCGTTTGCTTAGCCATAAACAACAATTTAGCTAGAACAGAAATCTGCCCTTCCCATATATCCCTCTGTGCATAACGAATCATTTTTCAAGTATGTAGTTTATTGAGATGCATCTATTTGTCTGAATGAAATCAAATATGTCTACAATGTAACAAATTATTAACAGATGTACACATAAACCCAAAATCTTAGTTCAAAAGTCCAAACTGCCAACATGTTTGTTTCCGACGCTCCTATTCCACACTAAAGGAATAAGCTGGTAATTCATGTAGTTTGGTTTGATTATATTCCTGATGAATTCATTTCTTAAATATGAAACAAGATGGTTTGACCAATCTTAACCCTTCTACTGTAGTTTAATGTAATTTTGTTTCCTCTCTTCTGTGCAATATTTGTTGAAGCAGAAGAGGTCCTCAGAAAACCTAAAAGAAAAGCTGTTATTCAAGCACAAATTTGACAATTTTTTGTTGTAATGTATGACTTTTATTTCAAGAAAGCAAATATGCAAAAAGCAAAACTAAGCCAAATTGTGAAACTCCATTTATGTTCTATATCAAACCTCTATCAGACCCTTACTGTGTTTCAAAAAAGCAGGCACAAGTCAAAAGGAACCAAATAAGTCAAACAACTCAGGGTGCATTTATTTCATTAAATAAATTTTATTTCTTTTTAAGAATAACTGAAGAAAAGTGTTAGCAATTTCTATACATTTTTTTTTTAAATTTTCCCTTGGATTTGCTGAAAACATTGATCAACAGGGCTGAGAAATTGTATGCTGCCGCAGAGTGCACCTTTAACCTAAAGACAAGATAGTTAGTCCACAGGCATCCATCAGTTTCCTTCAAAAAGCTTCCCAACAGTTCCTGAAGCCTCACTTTAGTCTCCAGTTTTTTTTTATTTTTTTTTTTTATTGGCTCCTCCTCTCCATCCCAGTTCATCATTGTCAAAAAAAGAGGCACATTAGAAATACTGCCATTTTCCAAGGACTGTGTCTTTGATTGCATCGACAAACTGTGCAGGCACCCAGTAGACCCAATACTGAGAGGCTTCCGTTGGACCCAACTGAAAAGCCTGCAGAAGTGGAAGATAAACTGGTGAGGAATTTTGGGATTACAAGGACTATGACAGCTTACCCACATGACTGACATTTTTTAATATGTTAGGCCTCTTGTTTAAGTCTTCAAAGAGAAAACTTAAGTCTTACTGAATACAGTGACAAAGGACTGTATGCCCAACTGGATCTTATCAATCCACTGTGTCTTCAGATCTGTCAAAACCAAGACTTTGTCAAGCCTACAATCAGTACAAGGAAAAAACATTGTGTTTGCATGCCTTCAGGCCTAAAATCCCACCACTGAAACAATATTTGTTAGTGTACATTATGTGTTCTATTGTAATAGAAATGCATTTAACTGAAAGTGTGACCTGGGGAAATATAAAGATGCACTTTTAACATTTTTATTTAGTTAATTAAGGGAAAAAAGCTACCAAATCAAACTGTCCCTATTTAATAGTAATTCACCCCTAAAACTAACAACTGTTTCGGCCAACTCTGATAGCAAATGAAAGACTTTTGGACCATTTTGTAGAATTATTTTTTATGTGATTTCTGGTATGGTTTAGATACCAGTCTTCCTGCGTAACCCAACTGTGATTGAGCTTAAGGTTTTAAACAGAAGGATGAATTATTTCTGGGTTTTCTAGTATAGAATAGACTTTATTGCGTCATCAATTCCGGTCCGGTAGTCCAGGACCGGAAGCAGCAAACTACCACGTTTGCATATTTTTTTCGTTTGTATTTTTTTCTTTCTGAAATTTTGTAACATAATGCACAACATATATCTAATTCTGTCCCCTCTGAGCTCCGTGCAGCACATTTCATTCATTAGGATGTTTAAACTCAAAACAGAGCTGTGATTCTAGAATCTGATTCAATATTTCTACTATCATGTACAGACTGTAATGCAACTCTATTGATCAAATCTACATACTGTGATCTAAAACCTGAATCAGTTAAGCAAGATGGGAATAAATGTCATCTTAGATGATAAAGATGAATATCATCTAAGATGATCTTTGATGACATTTACTCCATCTGCTATTAAACTTAAAGTGTTCAGTAAGGTGGAGCTGATGATTGATTGATAAGTTTTATAAGTTCTCAGACATACATACACAGATACTAGATAGGTTCCAAGAAAAGTACTTCGCGGCATAATGTCCTTGGTCTGTGATTCATAAAGCAAATCCTGTGGTTGATCATTTCCATATGTGCAAAACTATGAGACACATATCTTTGACAGAGTTCTTTATAATGCCACACTACTAGTTTTATCTTAAAACAGTCTTTCCTGAGAATATTCCTCCCAAAAGCACTGAAAATTATGACTCAATCTCTGATGCACACAACTCCCTCAAAGCTTTCCAGGAAAAGCTACAACAGCTTTTCATATCCTCAAAATACTTTTTATTTAGAAATTACAACTGAGCTCCATCCTTTTCTGTAAGTAAATAAAACAATCTTACCTTCTGAACTTTTCTGGGTAGAATACCCCAAACACATCTGCTAGCTTTGAGTATTAGATTTTTCTTTTCTTTTATTTTACAGCTAAATCATAAATCTGACATGCAGGCAGCAACAACAATAGTTACCATCATGTGATAGTCCTCATGGCCTTCGATGGGTTCGGACACTACATTTTTAATAGAGCCCATTGGAACTTTCTCTGTTCTCTCTGCAAGTGAGAAAGCATAAGCATAACTGCATTAACATAGTCAGCACCTCCGTGCCACTGGGACCTCAGTCAGGAATCATAATGTCACCTTTTGTTCCGATCCACAACTGATCTTGCTCCAGTTTGAATGTGAGTCTTACTTTTCCTCCGGATTTGTTAAACATTCCAGATAAAGGCACTGTTGGTAATCGTTCCTGTTGGTATGACAATGGTGCTATTAATCCCTTGTAAGTTCACTTAAAAGACAAAACACATGTTGGACAGCTGTCGCTAACTTGAATGAGCTTTAATCATCACCCCTCACCTTTGTTCCTTTGATAGCTGGCATTATATCTTCTGGTTTACCTTTGTCCAATACTTTCCTGTGTTGCTGAAGACACAATGCAAGTTTTTAAAAAATCCATACAACTTCAATACTTAACAGTGCTGTTGAAAACTCTTACCTTTTGCCTGCATAAGGGCTCTTTCTTGTTTTCCTCGGCTTTAACTTCCTGCTGAATAACCTCTTTCGGTGTGTTAACAGCTAATACATCATTTATTGTAGATCCGACCACCATTATTTTTGCCCCATTTGTAACCTTTATGTCACGTAGCGTCTTATCCTCCGGAAGCAGTCCTTTGTACATCACTTTCTGCATTGCTGGTGGAAGACCTAAAAACAATGTGAGAATTCCTTCAGTTCTTAGCCAACAACATTTGTTATAAAATGTAATATAAATGAATTAAACAATTTCACTCTCCTACCAGTGAGTGCATGGATCCTCTCTTTTAGCTTGGCTCCGGTACTGTCGACAGGAATTTTCAGGTCGTATTTGTTCTTGTTCCAGATAATCTTCAAGTCCACCATCTCCTGCTTGTCGTCTGCGTCGTCGCCATTGCTAATACTAGAGTCCTGAGTTGTGGCATTTCCTGCATCTGTGAGAGATGAAGATTCTGCATCGGCCTTTTCCTCGTTTTCACCAAATGCCTCGGCTTCTTTTGGCTTTGCCTCAGTCTCAGTGTCCATTACGGCTCCTTCACCTCCTGCAAATGCATCCGGTTTATATTTATTTAAATAAAATTACACAAGAATTCCTGGGATATATGTCAGCAGAACACGGTCTATTCCAGAGAAAATGTATACGAATATAATTAAGACTAAAGAAAGAGTAAAACAAATCTTTAGTCACTACAAGTAACTATAGACAAAACACTAAAGTCAGCATGGTGTTATGTTCAAATGTTATTAATAAAACTGGGTAAGATTTAATATTAGATCAAAGTGTGTGTAAATCAGCAACAAATTTAAACATTTGCATAAAAAGCAAACATTTAATCCCATACCACTTGTCCATATTACTGAGTGCTGAAAGGAAACACCTCACAAGACCTTTACTACTTTTGAGCATAGCATGCAAGAGCTAAAACCAGATAGAAATTTAGAAACATCTTATGGTAGACAACTCATTTTCATATATGAAAAAAATAGATATGAACACTAAAACCATCAAAGCACATGAGGTAAAACAACGAGCAGCTTTCTGCCATATTACACGTTTGGCCAGTAATCATAATCCTAATAAACATATAGAATAGAATAGAATAGCATTTATTGTCATTGAACAGGATTCAACAAAATTTCTATTGCAACTCCCGTGCAAAAAGTCAAAATATACAATATTAAATAAACAAACACACAATAATAATAATATATACAACTAAAATTAACTAAAGGCACTCAACCACACCAAAGAAGAAGCAGCAGGTCCAATTATGGTAAAGTGCAGATGATGTGACAGTGCAAGTGCAATGGCTGTGTGTGGGGTGTTATTCTGAAAGTCTAACGATTAAGAATATTTTAATTGATAAATAGAGCAAATACATTTGTTATCTTGCTAATTGAACTACTGATGTCCCATGAAACACTAAATTCCAAGAAAATGTGATTCTGGGCCTCTTGAGTTTACTGCCTTTGATCAAACAAGAACCTTCTGCAGAAAAACATCTGACCACTTGGTTTATATTTTCACCTAAAACCAAATTATCAACATATTATGTTGCTTAATAAAGTTCTTTTATGCTTCATGAAAATCTATTTAAGTACCGCTTGAGATTCCCCTGCTCATCTGAGCATTTAAGGTGTGATTTTGTTTTTTTTAGATTGAAGATTCTCCAAGTTTCGCTTTTTTTTCTCCTCAGCCGCATTCTCTCTCTCGAGGTCTTTCTAGCTCTTTCTATCGCTCACATGTAATGAAAGTCACCACACCGTTTTGTACCATGAACGAATTAAAAAAAAAAAACTAAACTAAACAAACGCTAATTATGCAATTATGGCAGATAAAACAACAAAAGAACCAAACACCCAAAAACTGAGGATTTTAGCCAAAGTAGTCACATTACCGTGAGCCCTGCATGAGATTCCAATACTGTTGTTAATTATCTTTAATTGTCTTATATATGTGATGATAATTTACGGTCGAATGGTCACAGCTGTTAATGTTTTTGACCTTAATAGCAGCTGTCGTCAAATGTAGATATATGTAACTGATGTTAGCTATCGTTAACGTTTGCTAGCAGGACCGCTGCTGAACATTTACAGAAAAAACGTAGCACATTTACATCACCGTCTAATAATAACAGCATGTTTCAAAGGCTAAATTAGATACATATGGCATTTTATTGCTACAACATAAGCGTAAACTAAAAATGTTTTCTGTATTTTTTCTAAATTTTCTCTATACCCACCATCCTGCGTCGCCATGATGATTGTGTACAATCTGTCGGTTTGTGGCAAAGAGGATACAGGAAGCAGGATGACTCCGAGACCACTGAGAAAAGTCTAAAATAAGTTAGCTATGGCACGCCAATAAATTGATATGGATGGTAACAATGTGTTAATTTAATTTAATTGTTCAAAATATATGTATAAAAAGATAGTTACGCAAACTTGACTTAGTTAAAGCCTTTGTAGACAATTTATTGTAAAACGGATATGACAGAAACGCGCATGCGCATTTGGAGAACATTTTACGTGGAAAATATGTATAACTATACAAATATATGTAGCTTTCTTGTCAGTTTAACTGGAAAAATGAGAACCATTATATTTGTTAAAAATAGATTTTTAAAGAAATAATTTGAAAGTAAATATAGACGTATACATAGTAGTCACATCTGGAAAACGTGTATGAGAAGGCGGAAGTAAGTGGCAGTGCACACTCTTGTTATTTTGCGCATCTTTGCAGCCAAGACAGACATCGAACGATGGAACTTTTATCTTGTTTTCCGTCTTTGACAATATCTTTGACTTCAAAATAAAATTAGATGTATTTGCCAGACGCTTGAAAAACATATATATATATATATATATATATATATATATATATATATATATATATATATATATATATATATATATATATATATATATATATATAAAAGCCATACAACTACGTCAGAAATAACAATTAAAGACAGCCTACTGGGATAATATCTCAATTTCATTTCTTTGCTTTTAAACACTTTTGGTTCTCAAAACTGAAACCTAAATAGATTCACAATACACAGTAGAATATATTGTATAAATCTCAGATTACTTTGTAACACAATAATTGTTTTGTAATTGCTGAAGTTTTTAATTCATCATATTTTTGCAAATGTTCAGTCATTTTCATGAGGTACGTTCCCCGTGGCCACCTCCGGACGGCAGCAAACACAAATGACCGCAAATTACGCGGATAGAAGAAGAGGCAGAACCCAGAACTACTGTCACGACCGTCCTCATGACGACGAAAGAAAAAGTCTGAGTGAAAAGGAAAATGAGCTGAAAAAACTGCTTGTAATTAAAGTCACAAGTTATCATGTGTACTCTAATAGGAAGGAAGGGTTCTCGTGTACAGTGCTCCACTGTTGCTTTCTATTTGCATCTCTTCAGTGCTCCTCTGGTTCCTGTTTGCGAATAAAACTAACTAAACAGTTAGTAAACTTTGTAAAAATGGAGACATTCGGGTCCTCTAGTGTTTAATAGTTGTAGAAGGAATTCATTAACAGAGGACGTTAAAAGCACTAATACTTATAATGTATTAGGAGGAAAAAAGAAGACAGAATGGCAGACAGAAGGACTTACAACGTTGTGGTTTTGGGTGTGGGATTTCTGCTCATTTTCACCGCCTTCACCACCTGTGGGAACGTTGAAGTAAGTTCAAAACCCATCATCTATTAACCATGGTGCGTTTAGTTTGTAGTGTGGATTTCTCAAATGCCGATTTTGCAGATTGAAGATGAATTTTAATTAAGCCAACGTCTCAAAAATGAAATCTTGTGTCACAAATCAACACGTGCAACTCGCAGCAATTATTTATTTAGGCTACTTTGTTCTGTACTACAGCTATGCGTTTTATAAATGAAAGCATGAACAAGAAAACCAGTCTGCTGCTGTTTTTTTTGTAAAGTGAAGGAAATGGAAGTCAGAGGAGTTAGTCAGGCGCATCTCGTGTTTCTGATTTACTTCAACGGTCAGTGAAATTATCAAACAGGATGAATGACCTGAGGCCAAATAGGCTCTAAACTCTTTTGACAACCCTAATTCATTTTTCCCCACCCTTTCAGCAAACTGTGGTGAAAAGTCTGAACAATTCAACTTTCAGCGGAAGTGGTTACCACAGGTAAAAGAAAGAAAGAAACAGTTTATTTCACCAAATTAAAAACGCATAAAGATGTTAACTGTATTTCCTTTCCTTATTCTGCAGCCTGGGGATCATCTATGGAGTTTTTTCGTTCTCCAATCTGGTTGCACCAACTGTTGTTACAGTTATTGGAGCGAAACTGACCATGTTTTTGAGTGGCCTACTTTACAGGTAAACTTACCTGTGCTAAGTAGAGAAAGAGAAAGTAAGTAGGACACAAATGCTTAAATATGTGGCTCATGGCTGTTCTTTTGTTTAGTGGTTACATTGCAGTGTTCATCATGCCCTCTACTTGGTCATTTTACCTGACCTCTGTTCTCATCGGAGTAGGAGCAGCATGTAAGTTCCCATTTCATACATTGGTATTGGAAGTTTTGTTATTCCTACTCCTTTGTGTAATGCACTGGTACACTTGAAGCAAATCAGACCCTGAGCATGATACTACCACCTCCATGCCTGACATGACTCATCTAAACATAGTTGTGCTTATATTGATCAAACCTCTCAATGTGTGTCAGCAAATTGTAGTTGCACTTGAAAGTGTCAGTTTAAGAACCTCACTTCTCTGTGATCAGAATTTTAAAGAAATATGCCGCCGTCTCTTTGGCTTCCCGTCTGTTCCTAACCAATCTCCTTCCTTAGAGAGTGACAATTTGCTGCAGATATTTGCAGCTTAGACCCAGTTGGATGTACAAAAAGGACAATAATATGAAACACACACAAAACTGGTTTTGAAATGGACATATTAGTATTGAATATTAAAACAGAAAGGCTATCCCAGATGCTCAAATATGTTGGAAAAGTTGCAGACTGTGCTCAAACGCAAGGTCTGTCTCAAAATTACAGAAAGTTTAGAAAAACTCTCAATAAAAGAGTGGTCAAATATCCAGCCAGAATTGTCAGAAGCCTATTGATGGCCCCCCAAAAAAGTCTGTGGTCAAAATTAAACTATCTTGAAAACCTAAAATGAATTATTCCCAATAATGAGTTTCTGTAAACTTTTCACCGACCCTATATTTATGTAAGTAAAAAGACCTGACGCAGCTATACTTTTTGTATTTGTCTCTAAGCTTAATTGCTCTCTCTGAGAATACATAGTGAAACAGCATACAGGGTATTAAGAATAGCTGAAGAAATTTAAAGCTTGTAAATAGTTCGGCATGCTTGCCTTGGGCTACTGCAGCCCATGGAAGCTCTGTTTGTCTGCAGTAAAAATAAATAAATAAAAATAAAAAAATCAAAGTTGTGGTTAATCATGCATACAGGGATTATTGCGCCTGGATTATGCCGGTGCTATAAACAGTGTATCCTGAATTAGAACTTAAATAGATTAGGAACTGTGTCTCCAAGAAACACAGAGCATCTTGAGTTTACTCAAAAATGTTGGTGAAAATACAGAGAAGACCATCAACTTTGTTTTTGAAGGAATAACACAAAAAAAATTATTTGGAGCAGTTGTTTTAAGTTTACTTGTTTAATGCTGCCTCAAAACATTGCAGTGAGTTACACTTTTTTTTAATCTTTTGGCCACCGAATATTTGAATGCATTACTTGCTTACAGCCCAGTGTCATTTATCCCTTCTTGTCAGCAACTGAGTGGTGAATATCTTTTCCCTCCCTCTCTGCGTCCTGCAGTGCTCTGGACTGCGCAGGGGCATTTCCTGGTGGAAAACTCAGAAGCTTCCACCATCAACAGGAACACCGGTTTGTTCTGGGGTCTGCTACAATGCAGGTATCTACACGTTATACTCCAGGCTCAGTCAAAATGGGAATGCATGCATGTATGCATGCTGTAATTCTGGTCCATATTTTGAGGTTTGCTCAAAACACATTATTTCAGAACTTGAATTATTGTACATGGAAGAATTAATAGAAGAGCAACTTTTGTTGTATTTGGGAATTTAAGGTTCTTCATAGTAGTTTTTAATTAGTCCTCGTTATATGATGTGTTCCTAAAATTGGAGTGACTTTTATTGTTCAATATTTCCTTAATTCTTAATACTAAGTCTGTACATTTATCCAGCTCCCAGGGATTCTGGGAGCTTGTACTCAAGCTCCCAGCTCCCAGAATTCCTGTCCAGAACACATTACGTCTCGGCAGGATATGTTCCTTTGCTCTTCATTTACCATAATCAGATTTTAATAAAACACGTTGCTGCTGTTAAACACATCAAAGCTCCTTAAAAGCACAGCAAGCAAGATTTGGCCCTTTTCGTTTCTTGGATTTGGCCCATTTCTCATGCACGCCGGCTTGGACAGCTAATTTGTGTTTGCTCCAATTTGCAAATTGAATTAGTATTATAATTACATTGGCTGTCACCTGTGCCAAAGCTCCCAATAGGGCCATGCTAATCTGACTCTGCAGGGATGATCACGTCCGTAATAAACTTATGATTCAGTCGCTCACAGGCTGCAAACACAAACACAGAATGTCACTGTTAGCAGTCATGAATAGCCTCTGCTTCTCCTCACCGGGGTTCTTGGAAGGAGACCATATGTATGTATACAGATATTTAATCAAAGACAGAAATAGATTGAGATATTTAATAGAACATTTTTTTTTTTTTTGAAACCTCACTTATTTATGTGAAAATCTCACCATGGGCAGAAATTCATTATTTCTAAAAATAAAATTAATGTAGGTCACATTTTCTAACACTCAAGTTTTCAAATGGTTTACTTAATATCTTGCTCATAGGGTATTTATATATTTTTTTAAGTTACTCTAATCCACCAAGTGGAAAAACATCAATTAAAGGTCACAGCTTTTCAAACTCTAAAAAGCAGAAAAGAGGCTTGATGCATACAGATTGTGGTTTGTCTTTTCAGGGTAAGATGCTTTAAACTTACAAGGACCGGCTATAATTATTATAAAAGTTGATTACATTTTTCTCATTCTTAAAATGCCTGCATAATTATTAAGACATCCGTGAGAACAAGGAAGTCATATTATTTAATCACGGCCTGCTGCCTTAAAAACACTTTTCAAAAATGGAAAAAAGAAGTCAGTATAAAACAAGTAGAAACAAACAAAAAAAAAATTGATTTTCTTACTTTTGGGAAAAATTATAGAATCCCCTATAATTTCCATTCTTACTCACAACTGACACGTTTTGTTTTTCTTGAACATTTTGAGAAAATACAAACTGAATGGTTAAGATTGTTAGAGAAAACCAACACAGCAGACCAAGAAATACATCAAACCATCAACTTAAAGAAACATTCCTTGAAACAATTGAGAACTTCTTTTTTTGGAGTTTAAGTCATAGTAAGTAAATCAGTTGCAGGTTGAGCAAAACAAGCCCAGACCAGGATACCACCAGTTCAACATTTAAGAGATGGAACAGAGCCATAGCTGTGTATGCAGTGTTTCACTTCCTCCTAACAACATATATTTTTTAACCGGACAGCTCAGTTCTCATGGTTACAATTCATAAAACATTTCTAAAAGCACCTTTAGGCATAACCACATGATATTAAATAGAGCTGAGATAGAGAACAACCTTCTTTTCCAGATGAATAATATTTTTTTCCCCGAGCAGGTCTAAGTTGAACACTGTTGTTTAGTTGTCTCTTCATGGCAAACATTAAAATTTGATGGTCAAGAGTCTATTAAATGTGTAGATTTTTTTTAACTGTTAAGGAGATTCTTATCTCTTCTAAACAAGTTAACAGTGGTTCTTAAATTTGTACACCCTGTCTAACTACTGACTGATGTTTGAAGTGCAAGATTTTTTTTTTATTCTGAAATATAATTTTGCAAATGTGCGTTGCTAAAATTCAATTAGGTTTTGTGTATTCCACAATGTTTTCACAACGGGTCCCCAGATGGAGGTCATGCATAATCTTAATTTCATTGTAGCACACAAAAGCTCAAGGCCATAACAGAACTTCCAACATCTTTCTGCCACAAAATAAATAAACAAATACATACATTTCAGAAAGTTTTTCTAATATCCCCATTCCTACAAAAAATAATGTTTTAGCACAGATTTAGTTAAGAAGAAAACAGTGTTGGCTCTGTGAGTATAAAGGATCTGCCACTGCCCAGGCTTCCCTCATTCTTCCTTGGCAGAACTCCTGGTGAACATCAAATAAAATCAATCTTCTTAACACCAAGTCGCAATTCATTCTAGTATATTTCTAATCTTTATTTCAGCTACAAAATACATGTAGTTTTCTCAACCTTGCATGCTTTTCGGTCATGTGAGCATGGAGGAATAGATTCATTCGTTTAAAAAAATCAACAAAGAACAGATGAAAACATTGGAAGAAAAAAGAAAACAACTCCACCCAGAACCATTCTCAAAGTGACACATAGACAAATTTACTGCTGCTCAGTAGCAGTTTTTGCATGATAGCAGCTGATGTGTTACATTATGGGACTTTTCAGAGAGGCAACATTTGTTCTTTTATGTAATGACAAGCAGAGGCTACATTTTACATTTCATTGTGGGGATTTCTGTGGGTGCCACGCTCCATAAACTTCACACAGAATGCTGACGCTGGGATAACATGGCATATAGTGAATATACAGTGCACTATATAATATATAAAGAGCAATTGTGGGCAGCGTGTACTTGTACAGCAGGCTTGATTTAAAAGCTCCCTAAAGGGAAAGTGGGCGGCATATTTATGGACGGGTGAAAACAAACAGGCCAGCTGTGCTAATGATCAGAAAGAGAATAGAAGCTTTTTTTTTCAATTCATTAATAGAGTCCCTTTCATTTGCAGCATGCTGTTTGGGAATCTTTACATTTACCTCGACTGGAACGGAAAATCAGAAATATCAGGTGAAGTCAGACTCGGCTAATTACCGTTATAATTATAAAAGCAAAAATGTTGCACAATGATGCAAGTAAATGATTATCACACAGGATTATACGACTGGGAGGTAATTATAAATCTGTCTCAGCTCAACGGTCTTAAAATATCTGTCGCCTTTTATTAAAGCTGTTTATTTTAATCTCAGACAGCAGCAGGAGGAATATTTTTCTGTTCCTGCTGGTCTCCTCCATTCTTGGCACGCTCAGCTTCCTGGTCTTGAGGACGAGTCATCGTGAAGAGGAGCTGCTGTCTGAAGAGGAAGGGCAGTCGCTGCTCTCAACGCGCACAATGTAAAGGACCATCCTTCAGATAATTACACCTCTTTCCCCGTGGTCTTACAAAATCAACCAGAATGTACTGAGGTCATCACTCAGGAATAACATAACGATTCAAAGAGGAAACAGTTGTGAATTTGCTTTTTTTTTCCTCTCCACAAAATGATTTTCCTCCAAACTACCCGCCTTAGAGTTTCCAAGTGTTTGTCAAGATGAACGTAATGATACAGCTTTGCAGAAAGTTTGGAACTGGATTTGTTCTTCAAAATAATTACACTGGAATTTTTTTTGTCCAGGTTTTTGTAACTTTGACCGAGTCGAGCCCAGTGAAGGCACTCAACAAGAGTAGGCTGCAATCAGGCAGATCCTGGCCAGCTAAGATGGAGAACTGTTGAGTGTGGCAAGAAAGGCCCTCAATATGTTTTCTTTTCAGGCGTCTTTTAACTTTCATGAATATGGACGAGTACCTGAAAAGAAAGACGACTGAAAGTCAGATGAGAAGTATTTATGCACAAAAGCTTTTCCAAATAGCACGTAAAGAAACTGAGCTGTCTTAAAGATATAGTTTGCTTCATGTTTCCTCTGGAGTAAATCAATGCATTTCTCTGTGTGGCTGGGTAATTGATTTCCATTGATCACTTTGAGCATTGGAGAAGTTCAACATCAGTGTCTCTTCTGCTGTTTAGGTACAAGAACAGAGCAAACGCCGCTCTACAGGATACCAAAACAGAGTTCCGTAAGTTTTTATTTAGACTTTATTTAAAAATTACACAGGATCAGAAATGCAGTAAAAGATGTCACTTTTACTGCATTTCTGATCCTGAGTTTGAATGATAAAATCCCTTGCTTACAGTGCTCTCCATAAATATTTGAAAGTAAAAACGTTTTTAAGAAATACAAAAATAAAAATATAATTTCTTGCAAAGACATAATATGACACTTAATAAAACTGCTGCATTTCTCTTAGTGAGCTTGCCATTTGTTTTAATTGCAGCAAAATGAACCTTCATCTTCATTCAGTCTTCTTTACAAACGCTTGTTGTTTTAAACTGTTTAATCATATTTGACTGTGATTTCTCTTTTTCATTTGGAAGCTAAGAGAAATTGACTTTTTATGAACCTCTGTCAGTATTTATACCCCAGGGAAACAGGAGGTTATGGCCGGGTTACTTGCTAATCTGATTTATTAAAAAAACATACAGGTTTGAGTTGTATAGTTATTGTTGGAGGTGCAAATGGTTGTACTAAAATTATTTCTTTCTTAACTTTACGTTTTCTTTCTCGTTGAATATGCACTTCAATCAAAGGTTGGAATATTATGTTACAGCCTACACAATTATAAGACTGCTGACTCGACAGTTGTCCAGACAAGAGTCGTAAAAAGTTATTGATATAGAAGTTGATTGGTCACAAAATTCTGTGTGACATTATATTATTGGAAAGTTGAGTGAAAGGAAAATGTGGTAGAAAAATAACTGAAACATATTGCTCTAGTTTGAATAAATCTTCCTAATTTATGAGGCATAATCACTATATGTGGGTTTTATAATTGAGTTGATAATATTAACATTAATTGAGATACACTCAATAAATAGACAAACTGCTGCATTTAGGGTCACAGTGTATATAATTGTATATAATTATATAAAGTTGATAAGTAACAAAAAAAAAAAGAATTTTGAGAATGTGTTTTTAACATATAAACCCAAACATTATTTATTTTCCTATGCATTTCACTGAAAAACGTTTGGAGGAGTAATTCTGTTCAAGCACGAAGTACTTTATGAAAAAACAAAACACACATTTACTTAATTTTGGTGATCACAACAGTCTTTATCGTGAGCTTTGTGTTGCAAATGACTGACGGCATCACAATGCTGTCCCTTTTTTCATTCAATAGTTTTTCACAGCTGATATGAAACCATTAGAGATCTAAGAGACCCCTCCCCTACCCACCCATTTCCACCCCGCACTAAAAAACTTGACATTTTCTTTTTGTTTCCTGGTGATTTGTATTTGCGTCACATCTGACTGCTTCCATTCTGCAGCTAGCAGGCAGTTTTGTTTTTCTTCAAGTAAAACTTGCTTTCATGTGGATAAAAATCTCCCTGCTACGCGACAGAGTACACAGACAGTGCCTTAGCGTGAGTTTATCTCAGATTATCTCTCTGTTTGTCAACTGGAAACTCTGCCGCAGTTGCTCCTGCTTTCAGTGCTGCCCCAGGTTGTTTGGATGATCTGATTGCTCTTTGTCTCGTGTGTATCTTGCACACACGTAGACTTGTGTGCACCTGCCTCGAAAGATATCGGGTTTATCAAAGATGCATGCTGATTTATGTCAGAAAGGGCATCAAGGCATACATAAACAAACCTACTGGGATTTCTGCCCTAAAATCCAGATTTCTCTAACAGCCTGAATGGAAGCCTCTCCCGGGTGCTTTCCTTTCTGCATTTAAATGTGGCTCCTTGGTTCAATTTTTTTCTCCCATTCTCTTCCAGCACAGAACTTTAATTCTAAGGAGAAAATTGGACTTTAATGTCTGCATTTTAATCCACGCTTTCTGAAGCAGTAAACGAGGCATATTTGTTCAAAAAATATGGCTCCATTAGCAATTCAAATGAGTACATTGGATTTCTTTTTTTTATTTCTTACAGAAACCATCCTGCATCTATTGAAGACAAAAACAATGATGCTCCTGAGTCCCTGCATGGTTTACAGTGGTAAGAGAAATGTAGAAAATCGTCCTGCCTCTTGTGAAATGCTTGAAGTTGGAGCTGAAAAGACACTGTCCTGGTTCTCCAGGGCTTGAACTGTCTTTCTACAGTGGAGTGTACGGAACGTGCATTGGGGCAACTGCCCACTTTGAAGAAGCAGCCAAGGGCTTGATTGGGATCTCTGGGATAGTGGTGGGCATCGGAGAAATAGTAGGTGGGTTGACGCACTGCTGACAGAGATTTAAAAACCCACGAGAGGTTCTAGAAGTATTTTTTGTCCCATCAGGTGGGGGGTTGTTTGGACTCCTGTGTAAAAACAGTCGCTTCAGACGAACCTCGGTGGTGTTTCTGGGGATGGTCGTCCATTTCGTCGCTTCCTACCTAATTTTCCTCAACATCCCAGATGACGCGCCTATCGTCGTTGAAACCACCACAAAAAAAAATCCATTTCTAAACCCATCGTAGGTGGTTTTTTTATTTAACAGGAGGGAATTCAAGCTTCTGGACTGGCAGTTGTTATTCATGTCATGTTACTAATAAGCATTTTGTTTTCTCCTTCAGTGCATCTATTGCCCTGCTGTGCTCCTTCCTGCTTGGACTTGGAGATAGTTGCTTTAACACGCAGCTCTACAGCATATTGGGCTATATTTACGCCGAACAAAGCACGCCTGCCTTCGCCATCTTTAAATTCATCCAGGTAATCCTCGATTGCCAATTCTCAGACATTGTTAGCAGAGCCGAGCAAAGCTCAGTCAAAATGTTGTCCTGTCAAGTGTGAAATAAATTCAGCTGAAGCCTCATTAATAGGGATGGAAGGTGTCAGAAAGGCAAATCTTCACCTCGCCTCTTTTCTTTGCAGCATAGTTGATCTTGAAAAAGAATTACCTCTAGGAAATTGTGATATTTTCTAAGCTTGCTTTTCAAATAGTGGAACATATTTTTCAAGGTGTTATAATGAGCAAGTCTTTTAACTCTATGTTGGCATGCAGTGCTGTGAAAAAAAGTATTTATCTTCATACAAATTTCTTTCTTTTTTCTTTTTAGCTGTTGGCATTTGAGAATTTTATTTCATAATGGAGAAATCTATCAAATGTGAAAACTACTGCTGATCAAATAAGCCACAAAGTTCTTTATCACTTTTGTCCAATAACACTCTGCTGGAACACTCAATTGTTTGATTTAGGGACCAATTACATTTTTACAGGAAGAGGTTGACGATAGATTAAATACTCATTTGAAAGTTGCTTTTTGTGTTAGCAAAAATTAAAATTTACTGGATAATTTAAATTATTTAATTATGATTAAAACAAAACTAGACTGATTTCATCAAGCCAATTATGTTAAAATACAGGACAATTACAGATATATTTAAAAAATTAGACTATTGAAAAGTTCATTTATTTCAGGCCATTAATCTGTTAATTATGCAGATTTTCAACTAATAAAACTACATTTAAGATTAGAATGTCACATGAAGACACCAAAAAGGCATATACTTTCAATACAGAGATGGGCTTAGTTAAAAGTATATTTAATACATTCTTAAATGTTATTTTCAAAAGTTACATTTAATCTGACAAATGAGAAGATGCTACTTCATTCAAACAGACTGGTCTTTCTGATCCAGTGGTTCCCAAACTTTACGACAATTTTGTCAGACATTTTAAAACTGTAGTAAATCTGAAAATAACAGATTTACTGCAAGAAGTTGAAATTCTCAACTGGCATGTAATTCAAAATGCCGACGAGGAAAAGTCTCACCAACCCTGACCCTAAAATTCAACATGGCTGCCTTTCACATAAAAAGATAGTGATAGCCACTGTAAATGTAAAGTAAAGCACTGATTTTGGAACATGAAACTCCAACATGGTTAAGTTGGGTTTGATATCTTTGTCAGATCCATGTTCTAACTTCAGAGCAATGTAAGAAAAAAAATAAAAAAATCACGCCTAGCAAACTGTTTCTTGTGCACTGTCTTTCACTTTGTCACAGCTAATTTGCACATATTTACTTTGTTATTAATGTCAACATTTCTTCTGAGTACCACTAGAGGTAGCTCAAATACCACCCGTGTAACATGTTCCACAGTTGGACAAACATGGCTGCAGATGAGATGTTACAAACCTTGCAGTTCTTTATTCTCATAACCAACCATACAATTTATGTGTCCTGGTAGTCTGTGAGTGCAGCAGTGGCGTTCTTCTACAGCGGCTACCTTCTGCTGACGTGGCAGCTCCTGCTTCTGGTCATCCTCGGCTTTACTGGAACTCTCTGCTTCTTCATAGTTGAGAGGATACAGGAGTACTCCATGGATTCACAGGAACTTTGAAAAGCAGGTTTCTGTGGTCAGAATCATTTATGACCTGGAAAACAAATGTAATCCTGAAACTCAGTCTTGCATTTTAATTAAAAAAATAATAATGTATCATTGTGATAAAGTGACCAATGAAGAATCACAGCATATCAGCTTCTGCAATATGTTAGAATGTTAGTTGACCTTGTTATGGTCAAACGTTTATATCCACTTGTTTTATATTATACTCCACATTATTTCTAGCTCAGGTTTGTCTTAATGAAAATTCTAATATTTTATGTGTCTACATCCTTTTTATGAATATAAATTATACTAAATAATGCCTGACAATCACTACTTTATGTCATGTTTGTACATTTTGCTCTGTAGTGTAAATGTCTCTTCCTTTTGGGCAAATCTTTGAATAATAAAATTTTAACGCACGCTGGAATCCTGTGACTGTTGATTGCACTAGGCGCTACCATTGCTGAAAATTACACACACAAATTCTTATCTGTGCAGTTTAGCATGAAACCTGTCATAAATAGGGTTTGAATTAATAATATCAGAATAAATATTTAATATGCATCAAATATAAATGTTGAAAACAATATGATTTATTAAAATAACTATACATTTTAAATGTTGAGTATTTATTTTTAAATACATGTAAGTAGTGAAATTCAAATATAAATATTAAATGTATACCTTTACTTGATACAAATTAAATATACCTACTAACAGGTAAATTTAGCAATGTCCAAAGTCAGACTGTGTTATATCAGTCTGTGTTTTGTCAAAATGTGCTTCCCCTCCTTTCTACTTGGACTTTGACTTGACAGAAAAGTCCTTTACATCAATTAACGTAAGAATTGTAGCTCTGGTGCTCAGTATGTTTTTAGCAATTATGTTTAATTTGAAGTGAGCATGGGTAACAATGATGAACCTTAAGACCAGAAAACCATAGAAGTATCACAAAAAATCATTAATCTTAATGTCATTTTTATCAAAAATCGCTTTTATTTAAATTATATATAAAATGAGTGCATAATCAATATTCCAGAGTTAATTCAAACACTTGACCATCACAATACATTCTGGTGGGATGCTTAAGTCTGATTAGTCCGATCATTGCAAAAAGACAGTGTTTCCTACATAAAATGAGTTATGTATTTTTTTTGTGTGTGAATATATTAGTATATTAAAAAAAATCTTAACATCAGATAAGAGATCTTATGTTTAGGGGTTCCATTCACAAGGCTTTTACTCTAGGATGTTAGCTTCTATTTTATTTATTATTATCTGCTTCATGTAGAAATCTATATAAATGCACACATTTAATAAATAATATGTATGTTTGAACATATCTATATGTACTGGTATTATTAAAAACATACATTTAACCTATGTAAACATTTGTAAAGACATTAAATAAATGATTTTACATATTGTGCATTATTTTAAATTAATGGATTAAATTGTGGTTTTCTAAAATAAATGTGATGGCAGTGACTGTTAGTACATTTGTTATGCTTATTAAGTAATATTGTGCATTGAAACTCAGATGATTTAGTATTCAACAACTCTGAAAACAGAGAAGATGTTTATTGAGGTTGACTTTGACAAACTTACATAACCTTAGCTCTCTATAAACACATACCTTGCAATCTTTGGCTACCACTCCTGTGACTGTTGTGAATTGTGGTCTTTTAAATTAAATTTTAATTGACCACAACATGGACCTCCAGCTCGTAGCCAATCTCCCCAGCCGAATCACTTAATTTTAACCCCAATTTGTCAGATTTGTTTAAAAATCAATAATGCTATTAATCAAAAAGGAGCATGCATGGCTCAGTTTCAGTGAAAAGGTCAGAAGCCCACAGGTCTCACATTACTTTATAGGTAATTGAGTATTGATTAAGTTATAATGAGAGAAAGCAGGTTAGTGAAATCTTAAGTCAGTTGTGTCACTTACTGATATAACAAAGAACGGAAGGGTTAATGAAAGTTTACAGCATTTGGCCCCAGTATTACATCCCAGCATGATCTGTGTTATTAGTTTAGTAGAGTAACCTTGTAAGGAGTGTAGCTCAGTTTGGATAAGTCTATTACCTCAGCCCTGGTATATTTAATGCATGAGTAGTTCTAAAAGTCTCAAGCACAGAATTCAGCCTATGTTCAGTCAAGTTAAAGACAATGTCGACAAAGAACATATGAATCTTGTTTGTGTTTATCGAGCTTTTGTTTTAATTGAGCGTTCCCCCAGCCCTTCGGATCCACCCGACGAACACCAGCTTGATTTCCCGAAGCACCACTTCAGCCTGCCGCACCTTTGGTTGATAACTTGAACAAATGTGCACACCGGGGCTGATCTGCTTCATTTTGCCACATCCTCACAGTCCTAATAGGTGGATCTGATTGAAATGGACTTGCAGCATGCACGACTGGGGCCTTGAAAAGCGCAGCGTGCGCTCTGTGTCGTCAGTTATTGTGTTTTTAGATGCGAGAGAATGAGTTTTCACTATTAGGGCTTTTATCCAGTGAAGCTGTTTTAATTTCGGAGTCTGTGTATGCCCAAGAGATTGGTTCATTTACTTCTATCATTTCCTTCTGTGACCTGCTTGATTGCCTCAGACTGTCAGTTTATTCAGAGTTACAACCGTTCTGTACCTGTAGTTCACTGGGTTATTAAATTTGAGGACTTGTCTCATTTTCCCAGAATTATGGAAATCACACGTTGTAGGATATTTGAATGAATGAGGTGGAGTAGACAATTAAATAAGCCAATTTCCAAAGAAAATAATATCAAATCAGATGACTAATAAATGTAGGATTTTGGGTTAGTTTGTGCAGCATTTAGCTTTGCACACAGTAAATGTTGTCTCAGTCATCAGCAGTTAAATTGAGACTAATCACTTAGCAGTGTGTGTTCAGCATTCAAAGGTTTGTCTGATGTAACATTATAGGAAATTAGCCTTCCATTGGGTAAAAACTTTAGCAGCGAAATTGATAGTAAACGTGTTTTATTATGAAATAAAGTCATGACCACCAGAAGCTGACAGAAAAGCTGATTTCTAAAGAGCGGACATAGTGCCAGTATTTGACAGGGATGAATAGCACGTCTCCAGGCTGTAAGACACACTCGAGGTACGGTGCCTTCACAAACTCAGGGAAGCGTTCAGCATCTGGACTCTCCACCTCCACCTGCACAGAAGAGTTCAGAAACTGGAAGCACTGAATCTTTTTTTTTTTCTTGGCAGGTGCAACACATGTTTTCTCTACAGACTTGTCAATCGCACCTGACTGGTGTTGTGAAGAAGCTGGGATTCGTGAGGATAAAGCTTCTCTGTGTCCTCTGGGGAATACAGCCGTATGTATTTGTTTCCCACTACCTTCAGATATGCAAAAGAAATCTCAAGAGGTTATTCTCTGATCAGGAGTCAGCTGTTTAGAAAGAGAATAGTTGTAGTCACCTGAGCCAGGAAGTTCTGCTGGGGATCTTGGTGAAGAGGAGATACCGTACCCTTAGGCCCAAACCACGCATTTACTGTGATGTCATCTTCATCTCCTTCACCAAGACAGCAATAATCCGGGATGCGAATATCTTCCTTTAATTCTGGGATCTAGAATTAGAGGAAGACATTATAGGACATCTAAGGCAGAAAATGAAACAAACAGAAGATACACGAATGAAATTAGTTTTGGAGCATTCAACATTATTCTTCAGCAGCTGAAAAAAATCTTCATTGAAGTTATTATAATAGAATTTTTATGGTTTTCAATGAGGCACCGATGAATTTATCAACTCATCATGATGTTAGCAATACAGCATGTGTATAACAGTGCTGTGAAAGAGATTTTTTTTCCCTTTGTTTGTCAAAGTGCATTTTTGTCACACTTGAAGGTTTCAGATCGTCAAATTAAAGAAAAACTACTGGACAGATTTTTTTCTTATGAAAAATTTACCCTGGCTTGTTTTACATGGTTGTGGAAGAATTTTGGCACACTCTTCTTCTCCTGACTTGTTTTAGCACTGGCACATTGAACACCAATTCATTTTTGAGTAGAAGTAACCTGCTGAAGGTCACAGCATCTCAACCGGATTTAATTCGAGACTTTGACTCGGTTGCTTTGTTTTTCTGAGTCAGAAAAACAAATTAACGTGCTTGTGTGCTTTGCATTGTTATGCTGCTGTATAACCAAAGCACTTGAGCTTAAGGCCAGAACCAGATGGTTCATGATTCCATCAATTACAACAGATCATCAGGTCCGAAAGAAGAAAAGTGGCCCCAGACTTTCACTTCTTCTTCTTGTTTAATGGACGTTGGCTTCCAATGTAATGGTGCATTACTGCCACCACCTGCACTGGTGGTGGCAGGTCTGAAACATGTTCTCTTAAACAAAGCATACTCGTACACACACACAAAACAGCATAAGGGTCTCAGACGACTTTTTGTTGTTGGTGTAATTCCAGACATAACAGGATGCAGATCTTTAAAAAGTTGCAGCAATGTAGATATCACTTGGTTCCTGAATGAGTTGTGGATTTGCACATGAACTTATTTTAGCAATCTGATCACGCTTGTGAAGATTTGCCACCATTTCTTGTTTTCGCCATTTGTTAACAACTACCACCACTCTGGCTTGTTGCAGTGTTAAAGCTTTAGAATTGGCTTTGCAAGCATTTCCAAACTGATGACTTTGTTTCTCATCTATTCTTGGATATCTTTAAGTCAGAGCACAATGTGTTATAATCATGTCTGGGCATGACGAGTGAATGTGAATCCAATATATTTCTAATAGATTTGATTAATTATATATAATTATACCACACCTTTGTTAATTTGGTGCATAATTTAACAGGAGAGTTGTATTTAGATACTGTAGTTTATAAAAAAACTACTGATAAAAAGCATTCTATATTTTCTCCAATATTACAATTGGTTTCTGAAACATTTAGGTGTGAAAAGAAGAAATCTGTCGGACAGCACACACTTTGTCACAGCACTGCATATGGATTGCAGTTGTCATGGCAATATCAATGTGTGCAAAACCACATTTGTGAGGGACTGTTGAAATAATCAGGAAATAATCGGTAGGCTATAAGATTGTAGAAGCTGTGCAATAAAACTTTAATAAGGTATTCCGAGTCCTGGACGCCTACAGTCACTATAGATCCAGATATATCGACCAAAATCAGAAAAATCAAGGAAGGTGGTTAGAATGTCTGAATGATGTAAAAATTAAGTACTAGTGATTATCAGCAATAATATCCCAATGTCATGTTTTACTGATATCATGCAGACCTACTTAGTTTTTGTCTTTGTGATAGATTTTTATGTCTCTAAAAATGATAACTCCATGTACAAAATTTGATGACTGCTAATTAGGGACTTTTTATCACAATATCACAGAATATTTTTTATATTAAATAGTGTACAAAATAAGTTTATTAGTTATAGTTTCTGAAGTTAAATTTTTTTATACAGAAACACCCAATTGTGAAAGATGCAGATCTTTAGCTTCACAATCAAAAAATGTTCTAAAAATGTCTGAAATTTATAAATAATATATAATCCCTTTGTAAAGCTCAATCTCCAATGCAGTAACTTGTATCAAGTTAGGTAAAAAAAATATGATATAGCATAAATAAATCTTTTTATTAATATCTTATTGTGAGAGCGTCTTTGATTTGTTGCTCCTGTTCTGCCAGAAAGTGAAAAACTCTGAAAAACTTGATTGTTGCTTCCTCGATTCAAGTTTCTTATCTGCTTTGATCAAACAGCAGGTTTATCATAAATTTTTGAAAACAGGTAGCTGCTCATTATTCTTTAAAGATGTGCCAAACAAACCAAAAATTAGGTCTTATCTATATCAGTTCAAATGTTGTGAGGAAGAGAACAAACACCTAGACAAAAAATCAGCCATTTCAGGGCTCCAATTAGTATTTTCCAGGGAAAACAAACTGACGCCCTGCCAGTGATGGCTGTGGGTTTTTTTTTTTTTTTTTGCACAGTCCTTACAGTGTCTTGTAAAAGTATTCAAAGCCCTTGAATACTTGAAAACTCCAATGTGTTTTATTGGGAATTTGATGGTAGACTGTCATAAAGTTGAGTGCAATTTTGAAATAGATGTATTTATTAGCTCTTTTTTAGTACAAATACACATGAGAAATGTGAGGGAAAATCTGTATACAGGAAATTAGTAGAGCACTCATTAAATCTAGTTTTGATGGCATAAAAAAGGCATTATTGAAATAAATCCACATAAACTCTGTTTTAAAGTTGCCACAAGATATTTAGGAAACAGCAAATGATAGGAAACAAAGATTTTTTTTAAGTCTGCGCAGTAATCTGGACAGACTACCCTTACGGTGAAACATGGTGATAGTAGCATCATGCTGTGGGCATGTTAGAGGCCCAGTCCAGATGAAAATCCATTTGAGGCTGCTCTCTATCCAATCTGACTGAGCTGATTGGAACTATTTTGCAAACAATTGGAAAAAAAAAAGTCAAATGCACAAAGGATTTATTCTTTGTAAAAGCCTTTGAGAACCATTCATCTTTTTTCTTGCACTTCATAGATGTGAGATACTTTAAGGTGCTCCATTGTAATGTTGCATAGTTCAAGGGTTAGAAATAACTTTGCAACAGATTGCATAAAACAGATAACATCAATAGGATAAGAAAGCAACGATGATAATTTACCAACATGGTAGATCAAAAATACAAGTACCTGATCAAAAAGTTGGTGTTGAGCGAGATAACCCACAGCTTTGTGATCACTCTCAGACTCTGAAACCTGGGAAGCAAAAGACGTGGACAAATGACTCTTATTACCCATAATTAAAATTATAATGTGGGCTAAAAACAAAAAAAGACACACTCACTTTATTCAAAATGTATTTGTCGATGAACTCATTGACCGTAAGCAGGGTTTGTGACCAGTCCTCGTCTGTATAGCGGGAGCCCACCTCGACGGGAACTGTCCGGCAGCCAGCCACGGACCTCAAGTACTCGATGCTTCACAGGAGAGAGACAATAATTACTATCCTCAAAAACATACAGGGCCGTTATGATTTGGGGAGTGCACAACAACATGGTAAAACAGCCCTTTTGGATGGGAATCAGAGCAGCAGAAAAATTGTGACCTGAAATGATTTAGAAGAATCACAGATGTTTAGATGAATTAAGCAACCTGTGCTCAGTTTATTGTCTAAAATCTTACTTATTTAAGCTAAATTAGATTGAACTCAGATTTTTATATCTTACCATACTGAGTTTGTGCGTTATGTGTAAGTTGTCCTTCTGTTTGAGAGTACTCGAGCTTTCCCGTCCTCTCAGCCCAACAAGAGCTCTCAGCTCTTGTGATAAGTATATATCAGTCTGATTACTTTGCTGGACTGAATGTAACTGCAGGATAATGTTAATAATAAAAGCTTATTTTGATGGCTTAAATTAAAATCCTTCAGTCAATCATTTAGGTGTACTTTCAGATGAAATGTACTATCAAGAGACACAATATTTAGCTGAAAATGCATAGATTCTGAGAAAACAAACCTCCAGGGATGTTTGTGGAGGGCAGGCCAGTGGTCAATTATCCCCTCTAAAATCACTGGTTTGAGGGGAAGGAGGTAGTTTGCATTGAAGCTTTCCAGTGAAGGACACTTAATTCTGGGAACTGACAACTCGTCTTTGATTAGACCAACATGTGGGCTTGCAATCTTCCTTTTCTGTTAATAACGACAGAGAGAAAAAATAGCAAAACAAGGTCAGTTTAAACTTCAGAGGATACTTACCGAAAAGGATTGAGTGTTTCAGACATTTCACTAAATAATTTGTTAGAATCTCAGCTAGTTTTAAGAGCTGTGTTTTCAGTTATCTTGTTTTTTTTTATTTTATTTTACCGTAATGAAAATACATTTGATGTCATTGAAAGCTGAAATAGCAAAGAAAAACATGTTTGAAATAGAATAATATACAGCACTCTCCACATTCACTGGCACCTTGGTTAGATGTCTGTGAAAAGAAAAAATAGATGAATGAATAAAATAAAAATATTTCTCAGAGTGAGCATACACACACAGAGGGTTATCTGACCATTCCTCCTCTGAGTCCTCTCCAATGCTCTCTTCTCTTCAGGTCAGCTCACAGATTTTCAAAAGGATTTAAGTTTGAGGACCTAAAATTGTGGTCATAAAAAGAGGCTGGTTTTTTGTTTGGTGAACCCATTCTGTGTTTATTTGGCCATCTGTTTTATCCATTTTCAGTTTTCTGGACGTCCACGAATTACATAATAATATTAAAAACGTCCTGGTGTTACAAAGAGTTCCTGGTGCCATGCATTCTAACAAGGTTCCAACCTTCGCAAGCAAAACAGGCCCACATCACCACAGATTGTCCGTATTAGTGAAGAGTGAATAATAAAATTATACAACATGTTTTTCAACATTTGGAGTTGTTGTTGCAAAAACGCTTCAGTTTAATTTCATCTGACAGAAAGTGTTCAGCTGACTACTTTTATGTTTGTGATGGCAGTCCTTACCAGAATTTTTTATTGTTATGGACAGCAAACAACCAGTTGGCATGAAGTTAGAATATTATGGTTATTATGGAGACATGGCGAGCCCAAAACTCAACTCTTTGCTTCAGTTCTCTAACTGTGAGTTTTTTAGATATTTTTTACTTTTATGTGTCAGTTAGCATCATCCTTCCTCTGTATGGCTGGCAGATAACCACGGGTCCTCATGCAGCTACGTTTCTCACAGTTACAGTTATTTTAACCTTTTAAGTTTAAATTTAAATTGATATAAGCAAGTGGAGATGAGGAAATTATTTGTCATTTCTTCCCATGATCAACATATAAACATTGTGTTCTCTAGTCTCACTCTTAAGAATAGCCAAAATAGATAAGCTTCTGTTTCATGTCTCATTTATAACCCAATAAAAATAAAATATACTATAAACAGAGTTTAATTGTTAATTAAAAGTTTCTGATGCTTCAGTTCAATTTATTTTATAGGAATTGTTAAGACGGCATTGATTGTGGTGCAGTAAAATAATTACTTCTACATGTGAGATTTTTTTTCCTTCCGCTGAAACATTGGACCTAAATGAAAAATATTGCTCTGAATGCATTTTTACTACAAAAGTATGTGATTGCAACAAAAAATTTGACTTTACCTTCAGTCTTTTTCTTTAACAGGGTGATGATAAATGTGGAGGCGTTTGTACCTAGACAAAGCTGAGTTTTTTTTTCTTACATTTATTTTAATACCTCTTAATACAAGAAGCTGATGACAATTGTTTCAGCTGTTTGAGATGTCAAAATATGTAATCAAGAAAAGAAGTAAGACTCCTCGGAGTCTAAACACAATGTTCTGACCTTTCAGTATTAAAAAAGGGACGTGTGGAAAAGAAGACAACAAACCTTTGCCTCAATGTCTTCATGATTATCTTCTTCTTTAGCCAATGTCCTTATTTCCCTTTGCAGAATTCGAACGATGACATGAAGTATATTTTCCATGATGGCTGCACCCATCAGCAAACCCATGTCACATGTTCTGATGGCCTGCAGGATCTCCTCATCTGATGGACTCCCTCGACAGATCGCAGCTGCTTTGAACAGACAGCCATACGAGTAAACACGCCTCCACTCTTTGTCCACATGGCGCCATGTTCCCGTGTTAAGTCTCTCCCATGAATAGTCCAAAATGATCTGAGCAGTGAGAATTTGTCTGGTGCTCGTCGTGTCGCCGTACAGCTGCTGGCGGGCCCGTTTCAGCATCTCCACCACACTTAACGGCACTTTATCACTAAACTGCAGCGGAAACTGTTCTTCATTAGAAGGCAGGGTGGCTGAGATTTTTGTCCACAAAGATGCCATGGATCAGAAGAATGTTCTACGCTCTGAGAGATGAAGAAAAACAGTGAAAGTGAAGCAATGACCCAAAAGAAATTCTAATCTAAACTAAAGTTGCATCCTCACACTGCACAGTCGATCTTGGAACACATTGATGCATTTTTGTTCAGACAAAAGCTGGGACATTATGTGTGTTTGGCAGGTTGTGGGCCCATCAGTGTGGCAATCTGCAAAAACCTGCCACACACATACAGCCTCACTGCTGCAGGGAAACAGACGTTGTACACATAATTTCCTAACTGGCAAACACCAAACACAGGTGAGGACAGCCTGAGCCAGGACCGCACGTGTGACACATGAACAATGACGACAGTTTGCAGCGCGGAAATGCCAACACTGCCTCTGTGTTGCTCCATCCATACTCGGACGCTCTCTGCTTCCAGTAGAGGCTGCCAACATCTAAGCACCTCATTTATTTTTACGTGGAAACAGAACCGTGTGAACCCAGAAGCGGGCTAAACTCATCAAAATGAATAATTGTGTTTATTAAACCACATGTCTAAGGGATGATGTTGGCCTCCAGCAGTTCTCAGATTTTTGCACATTCACATGAACAGACACTAAAACCAAATAATCATAAAACACAAACATTAAGAAGCAAAAACTAAAAAGGCTACTTATACAGTCACTCAATCTCCTCTAGAGGTGAAATTGTTGTGGTATCAGATCACAGAATATTGAGCATGTGGACACTACACATGTTAACAAATCACACGACTGCTTTGTTTGCTTACCTAAACTGTCTATTTAGTACTATCAGTGGCAAGCAGAAGGGACTAATTGTGAATCCCAAACCCCTAAAACGTCTGACCTTCCTCCTCATTGCCTGGATGAGAAAGTAACCTTGGAGAACAGTTCTCATCATCTTTAGTCACTTTCAATTTATCTAGTTGTGAGGTGCAAAAAAACAACCTTTGGTGAAAACTTTTATATTTTATTAGCTTTCTTAATTCACCAAAATTACTAAACCATAGTAACAAAATTAACTCCTGTTTTATTATGTCTTCTTTTATTTAACTTAACTTGTATACATTTTTTTTGCCAGCTTGTTTTTAATTACATCGCTATTATGTGTTTGGTTCTTTGAATATGTTTAATCATTCTTTTATATGCATGAGCCAAACACAATTTTCTTCTCTGGTGGACCATTCAGACATATTCTGTTGTGATCTATTGAACAATTATGGTCAAACAATAAAAAAAACTTAACGGTTCTCAAGAAATTTTATTAGTGATGCACAAATCAATTAGACAGTGAACAAAATAGTTTTTGCCTTCACTGGGGACCATCAGATCAAATATGGATCGATTATCAAGGTATAACAAAACTTAACAAATTACGGTTTCAAAATTTGTGAAATTATCTGTCATACTGTTCCTACTTTTTGCTCACAGTACAGCTAAATAAAATTCATTTAGAGCCACAAATGTTAATAACCTTTTGTGAAAAAAAAACAATAGTATTTTTTTCTGAAATCTACACTGTTGGAAATGTCATTTTTAAAAGAACCACCATTTCATTTCTGTTATTATGTAGTTTTAAAGCAAAAAAATACACAAAAACAAAAACATTTACATAAAGAGGATCGATACATTTTCTTTTATTGGATGTGGATGTTTGTGGAAAATTACTTGTGTCATTCTGCTGTGGAAATTCAATGCCTGATTTATTCCATGCAAAAACATAAAATAAGCCACAAAAGCTCTGCAGAAACTTGTTGGTTCTGCACAATTTAAGTTAAATTATTGTGTCAGTATCAAAAGTCCATAGAGCCACTTGAGGTGCAGGAACTGCAGGGCCCAGTCCAAGGGACCACAGTTTTTTCTGGCTGTATGCAGCACAGTAACACAACACAGCCCTCCCTCTGCCTGTTGCTCTGCACTGCCAACCAGCTGAATCAAAGTATGATTCAACACCTTTCCTTTGCTTAAAGAAAAGGCACACATAAAGAAAGGCTGTGGGAAAGTTTAAAAAACTGCAATTTTTCCATGGGATTTAAGGGAGTCACTAATTGTTATGCAGCTGTTTTGAAACTGCATTCATATAACTCCGATACATTCAATTATTTTGCATCAACAGGAATACTTTTATAAATTTTGATTTTAAATTTGTGAGTAAGTGACACTTTCTATATACTCTGTCTATTAAACACTGGGAAACTCATTTGGTTTATTTATTCCAGTTACCTAAATAAAATAAAACATTAAGTTTTTATTCCCTGTCTATGAATACATACATTACGTTTTGAATTTGTGTTTAGGTTTAAGATTATAGACATTACACCTAATGGATTATGACGATGTGGATTATTTTCATTTACTGCCAAGTTCACAACTACTAATAGAAAAAAAAAATCTGAAATAATCTCTAGGAATTATGATAAATCCCTAACATTTATGTCAGATTAAAGGGGCCAAGATTGTAAGAGTTTGACTCAAAGCGATGAAGAAGCAACAAAAACGATTTATTTTACAGCACCATAATCTTTCGTGATAGAAGAAAGCCTATTGAAAATCAACTAACGTTTGAAGAAATGTTGACCTTTAGCTTGAGTTAATATAAGGAGCGGAAAAAAATAATTAAGCTCGTGTAAGAATGCGTCCTAAAGCAAACTTCTGCTTAAAATATTAATATTTCATACGAATATAACCAACTAACTAGGTAAGAATATTTACCTCTTAAACAGTGCAAATTCCATCATAATCTGGACTGCGAAGAACAGCTCGGCTGCGGGTGACACAGCATAAACATTCCGACTGGGAACTTGAACACCAGGAAATATTGGTTCCGTGCTGCTATTAAAGTTGGAAATGTCCAAATTAGAAGTTATGAAGTCGGGAAATCTGTTATTAATATTATTGAGAGTGCTTAAAATTATATTATATACCCTTCTTTAGATTTAGAAAAAAGCTAATATTAATTCACTATCTAGTCTCCTCTTAAGAATATGCTTTAAAATGAAAGTAACAGATGCAGAAGTGTGTGAAGTCAGACTGGCCCTGAATAAAATTTCATTTTGCAACGTGATGAGAAGACTGCAGGAAACATTCCTTCCATCAGGAAAAACCACAAACTGAATTCACACTCACACTTGTTTGGCATGTGTGGGCAGTTTCCTACTATCTATACACTCGCCCACATCACACTCCTACACCGTTGCATTTGTCCACAACGTCTTAGCCTTCGTAGCAGCACGGAAAATCTGTTCATCCCTCTCTACTGAGGTCTGTCTTTTCACTTTTGTCGACCAAATGTAGCCGAGCCCAGTCAGCTGAAACTAGTCACAGCTCTGTGGTGACAGCACATCCTCATTAACATACATGTTGACACCGTTGCATCTGTCTCAACAGGTGGACAAGCCTGCCTCATAGCTGTATTGCACTGAGATAACTCCTGTCATGACAAATGATGGCAAAACTGTTAGACAAACATTTGCTTTCCTCTTCCTTCCAAACGAGACTCCAGCTGCTCATGATGTATTGTGCAAATATAGATATTCCTTGAAGGTTTGCAGATTTGTGTCTGCTCACACGAAGCTGAAACAGTAGTCAGATTTGTCCTTTTGATATCTCGCAGGTATTTTCTTTTTAATCTTTTGTATTCCTGTACCTTTTTTTTTACACCCACAGAGATGTGGCATGAACAAATACGATAGGAAATCTTCATTGGGGGAACTCAAGAATCTATAAACCCAGAGCACTATTATCAAATGTCAAACACTCTGTGAAATTCAAATAATCTCAGTGGAAATCGCTGAGCTACTCTTGTATGTAAGGCAGACAGAAACAAGAGAGAGTCACGCTGCCTTTCCAGGAATCTCTGGGGATTTTAAGATGCTTCAAGCATTTCTATTCACTTTCACTGTGTAAACATTCAGAATCCTAGTGACTCAATGTACTGTTCGTTTGTTTTTATGGAGGTTAGACATCACTGTGATGAGCACGATCGCACCTTATTCACTGAGTTTTGTTATAATTTTGCTAATATCTTATGCAAAAAAACATCAAAAACAGTAAGAATTGCTATTCTACATGCAATTAAAAAACAAAACAAAAAAACTTTAAGCTTTTAGAATCTAAATTAAAGTTACGCTGGTGCAGGTTCTCAATCATCCAAGTTATGACAATCCTTAGTGCTTAAGTAGAAGCCAGCCAACTTGTTTCTTTAAGATGCTTTGCTTCCCATATTTCCCCAGTTCACATAATTGAATAGGATTTGTTAGAACTAGGATTACATTCAGGTTTTATCCTGGAATAAAAAGGGATGCAAAAACGTTCATGACTGTAGTGCAGCTAAGAAAGGCTACTTCAAAATGTGTGTTTGTCCTCGTATTATACACTGAAACACCAGGTCTGCGCTGGTCAAACATGCTCTCTTTATTACACTGTATGGGGGAAAACCTCACACCATAATGCGAATGCTGTGTATGTCCATATCTGCTTGTGTGAGCTGCTGAAGGGGGTCCCAGCAGGAGAACAGATGCATTATTCACACACGTTATACTGTGGTTGTAAGACAGTGTGGGGCCGAGCTGAAGGTCACAAGTCTGGCAACTCTGTCCCTCGCTGAGCTGTCAGGACCGACTTCATGCACAGAGGTCAGTAACATTTCTCCCAGTTTATCTGGAGGCAGGTGAGGAATCATTGTTCCTCCCAAAACCCTAGTGGGAGGAAGACTGGTGTATTTCAGAGGATATATTAAGATTTAATTTTGAATTATTGTGAGCAATTGTGTCTTTTAAGGTCATGAGAATTTTATAAAATCTTAAATAAAAAGGTATTGAGGCAATGACAACACAGAAAAATAACAGAAGCCATAGTTCAGAAACAAGACATCCAAAAAGCCCAAAAATAGGCTTAAAGATAATTTAGCTTTGGCAAAAATGCATTTATATATTCCTTAACAGTGCTTTGAATTCCATCCATCATCCTCCACTTACCTGAGCTCAGGTTCCTTGTGTCCAACCAACAAGGCTCATTTTGTGGAATCCAGAGGAGTTTCCAGACCAGACGGTTAACATAGTCCCTACAAATGAGTTAGCTTTTTCCAATGGGCTGTGAATGAAAAACCTCCAACTGCAGGCACCCAGGAGGCATACTCAACAGACTCCCAAACCACTTCAATGGACTGCCTTTAATGTGGAGCACAGTGGCTCTTTTTAGACCTTTCATGCATAAATCATAATGCATTCACACATGATTTCATTATTTCCCAGCATGAAAAATACACTTTGAAAATCTTGTTTGTAAACATGTACTTCTTAAAGAGCTTTTCCACAAGTCTGTTCAGATGAAAAAAATATGGTTTAATAAGACGGACATACGTACGCTGACTGGACTTAGTAATACTATTCAAAATAAAATTTATGAAATGGCATTAAAATGTTGATGTTACGCCACTATGGCACCATATTTTTAAATTTTCTTAAGTTGTTCATAATGGTAAAAAATAAATCCTTCTGGTTCCTCATCAGCCAGTGCTCTCCAAACTTTTTTTTTTTTTTTACTCATTAGACCCTCCCTGTTGAATTATGTTTTCTAGCTCTGGACAAAGAGGAAATGACAATGTAAGCATAACTTATTCATACGCTCTCAATTTTTCACATTTTGTTTTTACAGGCCTATTCTAAAAGCAACTTGAGCATAGTGTTTCAGGAAACTGAAACACTGGTGGGAGAATATGTACAACTAATAAACACAAATATATATTTTTAATTTATGTATTTGTATAGGGACAAGTATAAAGTTTAACAAATACCTTACACTGAGGTGATTTTTGATGTTTGCATCTTTTTGGGCTTTTCGTTGCTCGGCATCTGGGTATTTTTGAGTTATCAGTGTCTTACATCCTGTTTTTCTTTATCCTTTAGCTTTACCATTCAGTAAATCTTTAGCTTTCTCAGCATTTATAGTAATTTCAGCATTTTCAACAACTTCAATGTCCTCTGTTCCATCATCACTACATCTTGGTTATCCTAACCCTTTTTTTCTGAGAGGTTTTTATAGCAGAGTTGTCCGAAGGCAGTCCTTGAGGGCTGGTATTCTGCATGTGTTATATCTCTCCCTGGTGGTATTTGCTACCTCCTCAACATGTCAGTATTCTGCAAAGGTCTACTAATGAGCTATTATTTGAGAGAACTGAACATTCAGGACACCTTCCCCCGTGAGGACTGACTCTGGACACTCTTTCTTCATAGGTAATGTCAAAATCATCATCCTCAGTTTGACTTAGATATTAGATCAGCTACTGGGCATTTCCAAGAATAAATGGTAGAAGTCCTGGTCAAAATGTGGTAAAATATAATAAAAAACCTGAAGGGAGCAGTCTATTTTTTTTCAAATCAGGAACCATCGTAGAACATTTTCAGGAACTGACTTTCCTCTTGTCTACTTTGCAACCAACTACGAACATTCGTAGCACGCAGAAAATGTTATGGAGTGAAGTTATCAACAGAACCATATCATTTGTAAAACGCAAAGGAAACTTTACAATTCCCATAGCACACGCCTTCCTTTCCTCTCTTGCAGAAAATTATATCACAAATGTCCTTTTATTTGTGTCCCCATTTAAATTAATGTCTATTATTTATCTGAGGTTCACTGGTCGAGCAGGTGTAACATACAATGAGCCTACAGTCCTTGAAGCAGATGTCGCTGGGTTCAATTCCCAGCCCTGGGCTTTACTGGATATCTTCTTCAACGGTTAATAAATAAAAGCCTGAGCTGACACAAAAAAAACCCGGTGTGTGAATCAGTAAATGAAGGTTGTGGTATAAAAGCAGCTTGTGTGGCCTGTATAGCTTGTACAGTTCTCTAAAATTGCAGAACATTTTGCATTTAAATTGCTTTGAAGTGTGAGTTATTGCCGGTTTGTCTGTCTTTCTGTTGGTCTTGCAAAGAACTTTTGTCCTGTTCTGGACAAAAACAGGACAAATTTTTACTAGTAATTTTTTTAAAATAAAAAAGTAAAACTTTTCTCACTTTTTCAGTTTCAACAATCAGTTTTTTTGAGAGGTAAACGGCTTTGAGACAAAAGTCAATGTAATAACATTCAAAGCACTCTGAGTCACGCAGTTGATAAAGACTTAATACATTACTCGAAGTGCGATATATTTGTATTAAATTGTAAAATTATTCACAGTAATTCTCTGTAAAGCAGTTTAATTTAATTTCACCTTAAAGTAAACTAATTTTATGTTTCTGTAAAAAGGGTTCTGTTTCACAGAAACACTCTGGAATCTCAGCGGTCTGACTTTGTGCAAGCGAGCAATTCATTTGGTGTTTGTCATAATTCCTTTAGAACCCGAGTTAGTCTCAGCAGTGCTGTAACTAAAATCCTCAGCAGCAGAAGCTCAGGGTTTGCCAGCAGTTAAACAGGGCAGCATGCGCTGCACGCACCACGACTTTCAGCCGCCTCCTCCCAGGGGCCTGCGAGGGTACAACCACAGGGACACCGCAGGAGGGATGTAATCACTACCATTACGCTCCAGGTGTTGCTGAAATAAAAGATGGAAACAAGCCTCTGGTGTCGTTGCCATGGCTCTGAATCCAATTAAACACTGTTTAGCTTGACACAAACTGCCAGACGTAGCCTGTTGACTCACAAAATTATTGTCATGGCAAAATGAAACTGTTGTCACAGAGAGTTCCACGTGACCTGAACCAGTAACCACTTGAACCACTGCTGCTCTATGCTTGGATCATATAGATTTCATTGGGCGTTGTTCAGCCTTGGACAGACTGAACAGTGTTGC